ATATTTATAGTCAAATTACAAGCAATACCTATTTATATAAATAAAAAAAATACTAGCTATACCTATTTATAGTAAAATTATCAACAATACCTATTTGTAGTAAAATGACCGACAATACCTATTTATGTTAAAATTACTAACAAGAGATTTTTAAAGTAAAATTCGTCCTCGGTCTGACGATAAACTACATCCGCGTCCAAGGTAAGACGATAAATTAAGTCCAACAGCAAGGCCTCTGCTCAGGAGGCTTTGAGGAGCGTGGAACCACCTCTTAATTGCTGATGTTCCTAGGTCCACCCTGATCCGGGGTGGTAGCAACTGTTAGAGTCCAAGCTATGGGTAAATAGTTAACCCCGAAACTGAGGTAAAAAGCATTATGAAAATGTAAAAATAGACTTTGATACCAGAAATACTTTGTAAAAAAAATTATTACCATCAATAAATTTTTGAAGGAAAAAAAAAATATTACCAGCAATACGTTTTTGAAAATAATATTACCAGCTATACAATTTTGAGGAAAAAATATTACCAGAAATAGATTTTTAACAAAACAAAAATATTACCAGGAAAAAAAAGTTGTCGACATTAAATGACCCATTGAGGTTGATATGCCGTAAAACAAAACAAACCAAACCAAACCAAAGTAAAATGACCAGAAATACTTTTTATAGTAAAATTACCAGCAATACATTTTATAGCAAAATGACCAACAATAGATTTTATCTGCAGTTGAAGGCATGCAACTGCGTTCACAATAGATTTCAGCACCAAATAATCCATACAGGTTGATATGCCGCTTAGCAAAATCAACCAACAAATTATACAATTAAAGAACTTTTGAAATAGGCATTAGATATTATGGAAATGTTTTTGTCGATATCAAGTGAATAATATGAATAAACATTGGACGAACAACCAGGAGATAACGATATTAAAAACTATCAATAAAACGCCATTATTACTCGTAGAATCTTTGAAGAGCTTGGAAGACCTGCAACACTTTCATGAGTTTGCAAAGGACATGGGGGCTTTGGGGAGGACAGATAAGCGACATTTTGCAAAGTTACTGACGATTAGAAATCTCACTGATGCTGAAACACCTTTTATGGTGATGATGAATGTTAGCTTCTTGTAATATAATTTCGTCATTATAAAATACGAGAAGTACTCGTGAAAATTTAACGGCATTCCTATTTTAATTTTAAGAATCTTAATTCTTAAATTAATGATCGAATGGCGTATTAGAAATTTCCCTATGGCATCGTTAAATGTTTGAGCTTAACAGCTTTAGTAAAATATTGCAATAACAATCATAAATATGAATGATGGTCGTTATTTTAAAAAGTAAGAGGATACAAATGAAAAGAATTGAAATTGACATTTTCCATTTCATTGAAACAGACGTGAAACATTTCTTTCTTTCTCTTTCTCAATCAAATGAACTTGTGTCGTTGATATAGCTTTTCCGTCTTTCAACGTGATCAAAACGGAATAGTCCAGTATTAATGTGGTATTAACAGGAGACGTTAAACGCTTCTTTGTTTGTTTCTTTTTTTTTTCATTCGTTCATTTTCTCAGAGACCAAGTAGCATCTCTGATATGTCTTTTCCGTGTTTCCACGCGATCAAAACGAAATAGTCCATTATTTATGAGGTACTGGCAGGACGTAACGGTCGTGTTAACTGAGGAAGAGACTAGCAGAGTTATAATAAGGTAATAAATTTTTAAAGATAATTTTTTTGTAAATTAGGACCCAAATTCCCCAACGTGTGTGTGTGTGTGTGTGTGTGTGTGTGTGTGTGTGTGAGCATTCGAATTATTTTTTCATCTATTGTTGTACCTGTTGAACTCTTTTACGTCAACCGGGCGATTCTTTAAGTTCGTGGATAAATTGACGAGATGGGGGGGGGATTCGACTGCCGACCTGGGCAAGACTTGCACGCAACAATAATTCCGGCTACATAACGCGTCAGTCATTATTTCATTTGTTAGATTTTAAAATTCCTCTTTTTTACCTCTTCCCTAGCCACACCACTCCCACCCCACCCTCATCATACCACCCTCACCCCGCCCCGCTACCGATAACGCTTCATACGCTGTGACAAGCCTAATTCCACCGAATGTCTCTTTGCTGTCATGGCATGTGAATGCGAATAGTTTCAGTAGGTGACGTTAGGAATTTGGGTACAGGTGATTGGGGAAGGTGGTGACGCGATCATTTTCGCAGCTCGTTGAGGAAAAAAAGAGTTTACGCACATTATTCTTTCAATTTATTTATTGAAATGACCTCTTTTAATTAAATCTCATTCTTTTTTCTTTCTTTTTTTTTAGAAAATAGCGGTTAGATTTTTCTTTCTTTCATTTTCTCATTGAGATCAAGTAGCGTCTCTGATATGTCTTTTCCGTGTTTCAACACGATCAAAACAGAATAGTTCATTATTTATGAGGGCGTAATGGTCGTGTTAACTAAGGGAAGGAGAAACAGAATTATAATAAGATAATTTTGTAAAAGAAATATTTTTGAAAATTATAACACAAATTCACTTACTATGACTGGTACTATTCTTCAATTTCCGCATATATTCGATTTCGATTTCCAGATTTTTATACTTCGGTAGATTTTTTAAATTCCTTGGTTGCTAGGCAAACCATATCAATTAGTAGGCAAGTTTGTTTTTTGTTCTTTTTGGTTTTTGGCAATTATGTTCAGACTATTTACTTCAATATTCTGTCCAACCTATTTGCTTAATAATAATAATAATGATAATAATAATAATTATTATTATTATTATTTTCTATTCTCTTCTTCCGCGCGGTTTTTCCTAGAGACCTTGCATTATGGGCGTTCTCCATCAAATCGTACGAAGTCAGACAGATAGCAACATTCGTAAAATACTTACATCGCCAAGCAACGTAGACTTCTGAAGCGATGAGATTTATTCCAAATTTATCTATGTAGGTCTTTAGGTTCGCTGGTATAGTACATTATTATTATTATTATTATATTTCAATATCTGCTATGGTCACAAGTCTGGGGGAAGAACTCGGGCAGATTGTGGTGGGTTATTATGGCTACATTTCATGATTTGTTTTGCCAACTTCCATAACATCAAGTTACAAGGACAAACTTCTTCTTAGCGTGTAGACTATACTTATCAAAACAATTTTTTTTTTGTATTTCTCTGAAGCTGGGATTTCCAGCGATTTTTTCAAAGTATCGTTGTGTTCCTTTTTTTATCATTCCAAGCGCACCTACTATAACTGGTACTATTCTTCTTTTCAATTTTTCCATTTTTTTTCAGGTCTTTATACTTCGGCAGTTTTTCAAATTCCTTGGTTGCTAGACAAGCCATGTCAATTAGTAGGCAAGTTTTTTTTCTTTTCGGTTTTTGACAATTATGTTCGGACTATTTGCTTAATTATTATTATTTTTATTCTCTTCTTTCGCGTGTTTTTTGTCCTTTTCAACCGGAGATCTTGCATCATGGGTGTTCTCCATCAAGTCGTACGACCTCAGACAGATAGCATAATTCGCAGGATATTTACAGCGCCAAGCAACGTAGACTTCTGAGGACCTACCTTAGAGGTACAGACGTTGACAACAATAGTGGACCAAATGTCCAACATTCGGACAACTTCAGTCCGGAGGTAGTTGTATTTCTTAAGCTTGTCAATTTCTTTGTCCTTTGACATTATGGCCACCAGAAACATTCACGTCGTTATTATTATTATTATTATTATTATTATTATTATTATTATTATTTGATTTGAAATCCTCTCCGACTCTTACATGTTTTGGCCGGATGATGATGACAATACCCCAGCTCTCACGCGCAACTTACAGACACAACACTTTCCTCAGCGCATGAGCTGTTCCAAGCCGTTCTACCACCAGATCACTCTCAATGATGCCAGGTATTTCCAAGGCGTTCTGTGATTCAGAGGTTTTCCTGGAAATAGTTCTGAGTGTGCCAACCACAAAAGGGACAACTTCAGGTGCTGCTTAGTATATTTCTCTGATCTGCCCTGCCAGGTTTTGGTACCACTGTATTTGTGCCTGTTCCACCAAGATATTCTTATTCCAAGGTACGGCAATGTCTATCGGGATCCATTCATTACGGCCCTTGTGCACAAGTGTGATATCAGGATGATTGCTCTCCAAGCGCTTGTTATTCAAGATTATTATAATTATCATTACTTTTTTATTTTATTTCTTTGATTTTTGGTGTAGATGTGACACTATTACGAAGGCGCTGGTAAACTGGAAAAAACTTTCAAAGTAAAGTGGAAAACAAGAAACAAAAACGATGTTATTCGATAGACTGAAAATATACTGATAACAAGAAAAAGAAGACTGAAGTAGAGGGTTTTTTTTTCTCTTTTTCTCCCCACCTCGGTGTGCGGGTGTCGACGACGAGTAACGTAAAAGCCATCTGTACATGGTCAACTTAATCTTAAGTGATGTATTTTTCTTAAGTGCCCACTTGACTCATGCGGCAGAATAGATTACATTTTAACAACTTCAAGTACCCACGATGACTAGGAACGAATCTTTAGCCAAAATTCGGTCAGTTGATAGGACTTGGAAAATAGGAATGGCATTGTAGTTATATTTTTCCTTCGTCTGCGTAAGATCCGATAAAATTTATCAAGAGGAATTATCTGTTTTTGTCACTTGTTGACCAAAAAATGACCTGGAGAAGTGACAAGTAACCAATCCCAGATGCAGCCGACCACACAAAGACTCGATAAGAATTCCCCGCTGATTTGGTTGATAACTGAATTTAACAATTGGGGTTAAGACCCCGCCTAGTCTAAGGCACCAGTAGAATTTCAAGAAAGGCGTAGGAATCGACGGCACCTTTCGGGCGGTGATTGTGAGAAGCACCCACACGAGATTTGGGCGGATTCATATTTTACCACCACCACCACTCTTCGGGGGAGGGATCTCCCCAAATTTGGTCAGGCAATCAATTTCCCAAACACCTCATGTCCCGCACCGGGTTTGCACGAAGGTCCATAAATATAGACGAGCGAGGCATTGGGAGAAGGAACCAAACAGCCCGAATTGCAGGTTGAGAGAGAGACACATACCAGTTGTTTCAATCCCGCTTTGCCAAACCCCCTGCAGCTTCTGCAGAAAAACTCCGGCCTTGTTCCAGACTACCAAATACACCTGAATGGTCTTCCCAAAGAAATCACAGTGGAAGAAATCAGGCTTCAGCGTTGTACTAGTTTACCGATATTGGCTAGACACAGTGTCACGGGGTATTAAAGGGGAAGGTGCTGAAAATCTGTATGTTGTTAATCCAGAGAGTAGAATGTTCGTTGTTGTGTTACACAGCTGTCTCTTACATTGCTCCTTGTGGTGTCATCTTGCCAAAGCTACCGGGTCAGCGACGTTGTGTATACAACTCGGCCTTTCACCCGCCCTGTGATCGAAAATAAACACAACGTGGGCCCGGGCAAGAATTGAAGTTCGAACAACCAACTCCAAGGCTGGCCGTAATGACCGACCACAGATTCGCCCGGTGACTGAGGACGGGATTGAGGGTCATATATACACATTTCTTTCCAGAGACCTAATATCAGAAATGGCATTATGTCACTTTCCAATGAGCAATTTAAAAACAAAAATCACATATATTTTACATAGATAAAGCCCTTCGTAAGGGGTGGGCCGTACTTGTGAGAACAATATTTTGAATTTCTTTAAGGTATGGGCTATCAGGAATCCCTTCAATGAGACTATTGCAATCCTTTCCAATCAATCCGAGGGCTCCAGCTACAATTGGAATTGTTGAGGGCCTCATGTGACTCATTTTTTAGATTTCCACTTCAAGATGCTTGTATTTTGATATATATATTTTTTTAATATCTTCAAAGATATATGGCAGTCTGCAGGGACTGCCATAACAATAAGGAGGCACGTTTTGTCTTTGCAGTCTCTAACCTAATTGATTGTTCTCTTTCTATGTATTGTAAAGTCCCATAAAATTGTTACAGTTATTATTTATCATTATTATTATTATTTCCTTTGATTTCTGGTGTGTATCCATTTCCTTCCGGGTCCCAACCAGAGACCTAAGGCCAGAAACACCATCATGACTTATTTTTGTAATAAAAGACTAAAATCACACACTTTCTACATCGATAAACTTCTTCGTAGCGTGTAAGCTGTAGCCGTGAGTATAATTTTTGTATTTCTTTAAAGAATTGGTCTACCAGGAATGCCTTCAGTGATTCTATCGAAACTTTTTCCAATCAATTCAAGGGTTCCAACCACAACGGAAATATTGATGTCCTCATGTGCCACATTTTTGAGTTTTCCATTTCAAGGTCCTCGCATTTTGATGGTTTTTTTTTAATCCTCAAAGATACATTGTTGTCTGCAGCGTCTGTCATTTAATAAGAAAACACATTCGGTTTTTGTGGTCTTTGATCAGGATGTTAGGTCGATTAGCTTTGATTCTTACCGTTGTTGTTGTTGTTCTTCTTCTTCTTATTATTATTTCCTTTGATTTCTGTTGCATACTCATTTTTCCGGGTCCCAATCAGAGACCTAAGGTCAGAAATGGTGTCATGACAGTTTCCACTGAAAATTTGTGTAAAAAAAGGTGAAAATAAAACAACTTAAGATCACACATTTTACTGTACTTGTGAGAACAATTTTTTGTATTTCTTTAAGGTATGGGCTACAGAGAGTCCTTCTATTAGCCTATCAGAACCTTTTCCAATCAAACCGAGCGCTCTAACCACTACTGGAATTATTGATGTCTTCATGTGGCACAGTTTTGAGATTTCAACTCTAAGATCCTTGTATTTTGATAGTTTTTTTTTTGGGGGGGTGAAGTTCTTCAAACATACAATACGGTCTGATGAAAAAATCATGCCAATAAGAAAGTACATTCTGTTCTTTGTGGTCTTTAATCATTATATCTGGGCGATTAACTTTGATTGTTCTGTCTGTGTGTATTGTAAAGTCCCATGTAAAGTCCCATCTCTGTAACCCGGTCTGGGTGGTGCTCATATTATTATTATTATTATTATTATTATTATTATTGTTGTTGTTGTTGTTTGTGTGTTATGTTTCTTGCTCTGTATCCTGTAGAGTCGGGTCCAAACTATGGTCTTTAGTCTCTATAGGAGAATTGTCATTGAATTGATAGCACTTTTCTTAATATATGGTATGTTCCTAATAGGCCGATCTTCTGAGCAACTTGTATGCTGATGTTACTTGGAACACTGTCAGTAACATTGCCCATTCCTTTTTCTAACGAGGCCCAGTGCTCCGATTACTGTTGGTACAGTCTTAGTCTTCATTCCCTACATCCTGTTAATCTCGATTCCAGATCCTTGTATTTGGACAATCTCTTGATAATTTTCATAGATGTGTTCCTCATACAATTCCCGAATTTCTTGTATTATATGATAATAAGTATATGAAATATTGAAAAAATACAAGTCTTTATAATTTTTGTATTATCATTATTATCATTTGGGCATGTTGCATTTCCTGCTTTGTATCTTGTAGGGCCGTGTCCAAACTACGGTCCTTAGGCCCTATACGAGAATTGTCATTTAATTGATAGAACTTTTCTTAGTATATGGGATCTTCTCAGTAGGGCGATCATCCGGGCTACTTGTATGTTGATGTTACTTGAGACACTCTCAGTAACATTGTCCATTCCTTTTCTCACGAGGCCCAGTGCTCCGATTATTATTGGTACAGTCTTAATTTTCATTCCCCACATCCTCTTGATCTCAAGTCTAGGTCCTTGTATTTGGACAATTTCTCGATAATTTTTATGGAGGTGTTTCTCTTTTCTATTTTCTATGTTTTATTATTATTATTATTATTATTATTATTATTATTATTATTATTCGTTGTGGCTTCAGACAAATAGTAACTATTGGCTTAATCTGGAGTTTAATTCACAGCAAGATAAAGTGACAGTAAGTCTCCTGAATAAACGAGCACTTTCCTTGGCATTTTAAATGTTTTCAAGAAAGCCATTGTCTGGGTGATTACAACTCTTTTCCGTGTACTTGACAATGCTGTATACAGGGGGGTGATTATGGTTCTTCTTTAAAATTTATAAGATTTATTCGTTTTCCAACTTAAGGTTCTATAGCGTACGACTTCATGGATAAAACTATTAATTTCTCTCTTCTTCTTCTTCTTCTAATCTTATCATCGTCTCTCTCTCTCTCTCTCTCTCTCTCTCTCTCTCTCTCATATCTTTTACTTCTCCGTCACTATCCTTATCTTTCTTTTTTTACTCTCTTTTTTTTACTTTCTTTTATTTATTTTTTTTAACTTATTTTACTTTATGATTGATGAGAGGACACCGCCAACCAGAGATTTCGTCGTTCACATGACCCACTCACGTGATACGGCAAGACGTGATGAGGCGCGAAAATCAGAGAATGGACTGCTTGGACCGAGCCCCGAGTCGAAAACGAAGACTTTGCCACGATCCACCACCCACGGACAACCTTACGTGCCTTGCCAACACAAAACATTCTTTCGTCTTCTGGTATGCACTGACGTGCGAGGAAGTACTTGTGTCACAAAACAAAGAAGTTTTTAAAAATAGATATTCGATCATGGTAGTCTTATGATAATCAAGACTTCACTGACAGCGAAGAGAACATACATTGTAACCTCTTCTTCTTTATTGTGTCGTGTCCCTTCAGGATGTGGTTAATCATGGCTCTCCACAACTTCCTGTTCTTTATAGCTTTTAGTAACGTTTTACATTTTACCATCACTCCCACGCCCTATTCCACCATCCATTAACACAAGTTTGTGAAATAAATGGTTCGCTGTCAAATAATGTCTTTATTGCCTTCGATATGGCTTCTGAGTTCCAAAGTCTCCAAGCCCTCATTCCTCATTATTTGTCCAATAGATTTCAGCTCTTTATTATTCTGAGTATAAGTGTCTTTTTCGTTTTCATTTTCTTTAAACTTCGTAGTTATTCACATGTTCAATCCATGAAATTCCCAACATCCTTCTGTAGAACCACATGTTACCTTCAGTCTCTTCTTTATCTGTAAGGAAAGTTTCCAGCCAATATAGAGTGCCTGATTCGTTTTCTATGATTTATCAACCCTTTTCAGGTTATTTAAAGTCAGAAAATATTTTTAGTTTGTAAGAGTTTTTTTTTTAGATAATAACGATTGAGCGATTCAAGTTTTACTAATTAACCCATAGCTGGGGAGAGAAGAGGTGGCTTCATGCCTTTCCTAAGGGTATTTGCGTGTAAGTGAATATAATGAAAGCAACGGGAATTCGAACTCGGTTCTCCAATTAACAATTTAGAGACATTATTCATTACACCATCCGCACATCCGAACTTATAGCATTTGGTATTTTCAAACCGTCACCCATCTTGGTAGTGACCAGGCTCGACGTTGCTTAACTTAGGAGATCGTACGGTGTTTCAACGTAAAATGAGCGTAAGCCTCTGCCATATAGTAGTCACATAGTAGTTCAGTAGTTTTCTTTGAGTTTAAGGACTTTTTCCTGTTTCTTAATACTTTGCTTAGCTTTTGGAATACAACTTTCACTAATTCGAATTCACCTTCGGATTTCGGTGTCACGTTTTCTATCATTTAATAAAAAACATTCCAGATATTCGGATTTCTGTACTTTATTATTTAAACGAGAAATCGTCGATGCACTCTGTAGCCGAGAGGTGAAAGCACGCCTGATCTAATGACTGTTTCCTCCTAGGGAACGCAGATTCGAATCCTACCAGAGAACGCATATTTTTCTCGAATAAGATTTCTCGAACATTCAGGTCGATAGACGAAAATAAATAAACTATTTAATAAATAAACGGAACGTCTACTCAAATATGGGTATCCACTAAAAATAACTTCTGTACTTGTTTGAGTTTGGCATTTCAAATTCGTAGTTCGCATTTGGGGATTTTTCTCTTTGTTGTATCCTTAAAGAGGTTACAAACAAACGTGGTACTCGAGTGAAGGAATAGTAACGCGCGTAGATCAAAGAAGAGAGGTTTATTGTAAAAGAGAATACACTACTGAAAAACAGGGAATCGGGTGGCAGGCTAGTAATTCACAAAGCAAGGATATTTACCTTATCTCCACGCGAGGCAGGATGTGGCACAAGACCGTTTTTAATATGGGGTCAAAACCGAGCCTACGGGCTCGGGCAAAAATGCCCCGTATACACGGCATAGCCTCGTCTGTGTTCCTCTCTGCACGAAGGCAGAAAGTTCGACCAGTACAGCTGGAGACGAATTTCCAACTAATTCCCAAAGCAAGATTATTTACCTTACCTCCCTACGAGGCACGATGTGGCACAAGATCGTTTTTAATGCGGGATCAAAACCGGGCCGTAGGCTCGTGCAAAAATTACCCGTAGACCCCTTAAACACAGGGTCGGGTAACTGTCTACCACCCCTCGTCTGGGTTCATCTCCGCCCGAAGGCAGAGAGTTCAACAGGCTGAGCTGAAGACGAATCTCCAACTAATTGCCGAAGAAAGGTTATTTACCTTACCCCCGACCCCCGCGTAGCAGGATGTGGCACAAGGCCATTTTAATGCGGGGTTAAAACCGAGCCCATGGCCTCGGGCAAAAATTCCCCGTAGACCCCGTAAAAACGGGGTCGGGTAGCCGTCTACGCCTCGGGCAAAAATTCCCCGTAGACCACGTAAAAACGGGGTCGGGTAGCCGTCTATGCCTCGGGCAAAAATTCCCCGTAGGCCCCGTAAAAACGGGGTCGGGTAGCCGTGTACGTCTCGGGCAAAAATTCCCCGTAGACCCCGTAAAAACGTCTACCACCCCAGACGAGACTCTTCCCTTCGGCATAGCCTCGTCTGGGTTTCTCTCTGCCTAATCTCCAACTAATTGCCGAAGCAAACCCCCAGGTATATCCTGTGCTCATTATATACAGCTACTGATATAGTCAGTCCACATAGGCTGTAAGGATTGTGGGACATTCCATTACAACACAGTTGCTGACAACCATACATTCTATATTCTTACAATTGATGGTTAGTCCTTTCTTCTCGCTTTCCTTTATTACTATGATAGGGTATTCAGCACTCTGGGGACAGCCTCACACTAGATAATTAAATTTTTATTACCAATTCTTCCCAGACTGATCTGCAACATGAAATTTGCGACTTCTCCAGTTGCATTTTAACCTATCTGTCGTAGATGTACATCTATCAACCAACCAAGCAACTTACCTGTGTATCTGTCAGTCAACCTACTGCAACTGCATCCCTTGCATAGCGGTAACCCCCCCCCACTCTTCGACTAAAAGTAAATAATTATAGACTCACGTATCAACAATCAATATTTGCGTACTTCCGAGCCAAATAAATGCATTTAGCTTCCAACAGAATATTAAAACCTGATTGATTTCGACATTAATTAATCCAAAAAGGTTGACATATCATAAAATCAAACAACGTAAAAATAATATATATATATATATATATATATATATATATATATTAGTGGTAGAATCCTCGACTGACGCTAATTCAGTCGGATTTCGATCTAGCTGGGGCGGCCGGACGTCTGGCCACACTGGTAGGCTGTGATACAGCGAAACAGTCTATCTGTGAATGACTATATATATATATATATATATATATATATATATACAGATACGGGATAAGAACAAGCAGAGTATAATTCCATTGTCTGTAGCATTTAATCTTTTAAAAAGGACTCAATACAGAGTAGAGCTTAATATTATTTATTTTATGAGATTAATTATGGTCGAGCTGCCATTCGCTTATAGTTTGTATTAATTTCTTGTCTGACATTCATGACGACTAGGATTAGATTTAATACCACTTTTTACCATGATCAAAGTTCCCCCTTTTTTGGCGTAGGTATGACACCTAATTGGTTAATCAGGGTAAACCCACAAGCCTTAATTTTGTTTTGCTGTTATCTGTTTTTGAAATTTAAAAATATTTTTTACTTACCAGTTATTTACTATCACCTGAGGAAGCAGATTTTGAATACTGAAACATGAAAGCTAATGTGTAGGGATTTTTGACATGTCTTTATTTTAATCTCATACACACGCACACACACACGGATTTATATATATATATATATATATATATATATATATATATATATAGGATTACGTATATATATAAGATTACTACCCGTCAATTTCAAGGGAACTTTTTTTTCTTTTTACATTAAAAAATATTGAGCACATTTTTAAAAATTAAATGATAAGAAGTGGATTATTAATCTGTCTGTTCTTTTTTTCTTTATTTTGTATATATATATATATATATATATATATATATATATACCCGATTTTCAGGTGTGAAGATCTCGTTGATGCGTGAAACAGAGTCACACAATGTTGTTTCCTATAATCACAGTGTCTATATCTATAAACGTCAGGCCTACCTATTGCGACTTGCATGAAACAGTCTGTCTCCTCTGAGTGTTGACTTCAATGTTTTATATATATATATATATATATATATATATATATATATATATATATATATATATATATATATAGAAAGAAAGAACAGTAAGATATAAAATCCGGTGTTCTTATAGATATTTTTATTTTTACAAAATAGTGCTCAATGTAAATTTACAGAGCATTAATATTATAAATCAATTCAGGGCTTTTAGCTTCTATTTTGAAACATGGTTAGAACTGTGTAGCGGAAAAAACCATATTTTAAATCAATTAATTTATAATATATATATATATATATATATTAATATATATATATATATAATGGACTCTTCCGTTGAGGATCCGACAACCTCATTCAGTTTTTTTATGTTTGTCTCGTATGTAAGAATTCAGTCCAGCTAGTGACCTGCATTCAAGTCTACATATTGTGCAACGGTGAGGAGCTGTGGATATAGCAACAGGAATAATATATATATATATATATGTGTGTGTGTGTGTGTGTGTGTGCATATACATATATATATGTACATATATGTATACATATATATGTGTGCGTGTGTGTGTATGTATGTGTGTGGGGTGGGGGGGGTTCATTGAATAAGACAGACAATGAAAACTTAATTATTTTTTTTATTTAGTTTTTTCCGGCTTTCTTACACATAAGGATGCGGGGAAAACTAAATAAATAAGTAATTACATTTTCCTTGTCTGTCATATTCAACGAAATATGTTTAAAAGAAAGGTTATTATACATCAATATATATATATATATATATATATATATATATATATATATATATATATATATATATATATATAAAGAGAGATGAATAGACTGAGATAGACAGCTATGAACAAATTGAGATAGCTAGATATGAAAAACTGAGATAGATAGATAGATATGAACAGACTGACATAGATATGAACAGGCTAAGATAGATAGATAGATAGATAGATAGATAGATAGATATGCACAGACTGACATGTATGTGTGTGTGTACGTGTGTGCGTGTAAGATGGAATGTGTGAAAAGCAGTTGGATGTTTAATTTAAGGTTATTATACATCAGTATATATATATATATATATATATATATAGAGAGAGAGAGAGAGAGAGAGAGAGAGCGAGCGAGAGAGAGAGAGAGCGAGAGAGAGAGAGAGATGAATAGACTGAGACAGCTATGAAAAACTGAGGTAGATAGGAAAAACTGAGATAGATATGTATATGTGTGTGTGTGTGTACGTGTGTGTGTGTGTGTGTGTGTGTGTGTACGTGTGTACGTGTGTGTGTGTGTGTGCGTGTAAGATGAAATGCGGGAAAAGCAGTTGGATGCTTAATTTATTTCTCACTCAGAAATCATTCTAAAACTAACCAAAAACAATCTTAGGTAAAAAAAAAAAATGTTACCATGGCAACCCTGCTACTTTCAAACGCCGTTGTTAATTTGAAATACATTAACAACTAGCAGTAGAGCCCGGCGTTGCCCGGGGATATAACAGTAAGAGATAGATCAAGTATCCACCATCATAAAGACTGAAAAATAAAATTGACAAAGATTATTGTTTAAGGTTGACGGACACGCATGTCTTAATTATTTTTTTTTTTTTTTTTTTTGTTTGTTTGTTTTTACGAATTGGTCAAACCCAAACTTAAACGAAAACATTGTTTTCAATTGTTATGAGTCTCTACCGATTGAATAGAATTTTATTATAAACAATTGTCTTGTAAATGGAATTTTTAAAGCATTCTGAATGTAAAAATAAAGAAAAAAAGTGTGCAAGACAATAAGAAACTCTACCTGCCAAAAAAAATGAAGTTTTGTTGACATCGGTTGAAAAATGTAGGAAATCCGATCCCATATATAAACGAACACAGACACACACTCACAACAACCTGGGTTTTATAAGTATAGCTCGATATGAGTTGTCCCCCTTTCATTCTCGACAGCGATGCCTCTTAATCCTGTTTTCAAATTGATTTCGTGCAAAAAGAATTGTATTTTTCCAATTTTTGGCGCTGTCAGAACCACCGCAAGGTAATTTTACGTAGTCCTATGAAGTTTTGTTGAAATCGGTTGAAAAATGTAGGATATCCGATCCAATATATAAACAAACAGACACACACACACACACACACACACACACACACACACACACACACACACACACACACACACACACACACAACGTGGGTTTTATAATAAGTATGATTTATAAAATTTTACAATAAATAATACATTTTATATACGGATATTAAAAAATATTTACTCTATAACCCTCACATCTTGCAGAAAAATCACTTAAATTACTTTTCCTTTCTATACTAATGCATGAAATGAAATTCAGCAGTCTGCCATGAGTATGTTTAAATGTCTGCATGCGTTAATTGAGTTGAATTGTCACAACAAATATGTATTGTAAGGCACTATCCACTGATTTATTTCTTGCTCAAATTGACATCTATATTGACGATGTGACCTCCATCTTCTGGCTTTCTCCTTCTATATTTTGGATAAGAGCCATCCCTTGTTCAGATTTAAATTTAAATCAAAGGGAAACAAATTTCAGTGCGAGCGTGTCCCTGACGGGGACCCCCTTTGATCAAAATGAAATATACTTATCCATGTACCCTAGGAGTCATTCTCTTGTTCAAATTTAAATTTCATTTATATCAAAGTGAAAAAAAATTCAGTGGGTTTCTCCCGCCGGGGACCCCTTTTGATCAAAATGAAATATACTTATCCAAGTACCCTGAGTAATGTAGATTCAGAATATATATGTTATGTGAATCTAGAATCTATCTCCAAAACACTAGGAGGAGTTCGATGTATTGATGAACGGATTTCAACATTGATATGACAGTTGAATTGTCGCAACAAATATGTATTGTAAGGCAGACTCCCTGACTGGTGATTTATTGCTCAACTTGATATCTATAATGTCTCATTTTGATCTTGCCGTTGTCACCTCCATCTTCTGGATTTCTCGTTCTAAAGTGTGTTCCAATAACTTGAACCGATTTTAAATGTGAATTAAGTTTAAGCGTTTAATGATTTTTTTCGTTTTCTTTCAGATTTGGCTGACATTAGGGCGATATTATTTTTCACACATAATTGCCATGAGTTAAATAACAGGATGCAATAGAGAGATGAATAAATTTTCACCAATAATACTGATTTATATACTGCTGACTTTGATCCGTCTTAATAAAACACCCTTTATATTTTCGATAGGAGTCATTCCCTTGTTCAGATTTAAATTCAATTTAAATCAAAGGGAAAAATTTTCAGTGGGGTCTTTGTGGGGCCTCTTTTGATCAAAACGAAATATATTTATGCAAGCACCCTAGAAGTCATTCCCTTGTTCAAATTTAAATTTAATATATATATATATATATATATATATATATATATTCTGTGTATTTTGGCAGTAAATATTCTTTAAGTTAAATATTATCACAAACAGACAAATTGTATTGGTTAATTTTACCGATCGACTTTTCCAAATTATGAATAATCCTGATTAAACAAAGGGGGAAATTCCGTCAGAAATTGTCCGAAGTTCATTTCGGAAATAATATGGTCCAAGCTTCTGACTTTCTTAAGTCATAATCAGGATAGATAGAAAGGTTCTACGAAACTCCCTATTTGTCTCTACCTACCCTGATGTTGACTTAAAAAAATCAACTCGTCCCCGTCGGACTGCTTGATTAAAACAAAGCCCGTATAGTCTTTTTGAAACGTCAGATCTAAGGACAGTTTCCCCTAGGGGACGCAGGTTCGAATCTTACCGGAGGACGCAAATTTTTCTAAAATAATGCCCCAATGAGTATTCACAATAGCGAAGATCTCAAGTGAACAATAACCGTGAAAGTATTTATGGAAAAGGCAGAGGGAGGCAGACTTACGTCTGTGGGAAACTGACTGAAGCGGAGACGCCATATTGTAATTGAAATTGTGACGGAGAATAATTGAATTATACAACACAGGTGGGTTCTGTGGGTACTGAACCAAAGCAAATAACGTTTAAATAAATATATTTTAAAACTCTGTCGTATTTAAATTCATTTCCTAATTATTTTAACTTTGTTTACGTTAGGGAGCAACAGAGCAGGTATGTATATTTAGAGAATTGCGGGAAAGTGTGTTTCAAAAGTACTATTTTAAAAAAGATTTCTCGAATATTCAGGCCGGTAGATGTAAATAAATAAATATAATGTTTAATAAATAAATAAAAACAGAGCATCTACTCAAATATGAGTATCCATTTCAAAAATAACGTTTAAACAAATAAGTTTTAAAAATCTGTTGTGTTTGTTGTGAATATGGATTATCTCCTCTTTGATAATCCAAGCTATAGAAGCTGTACACTTCCGCTTGTCAAGTAGACGAGTAGTAGGATTCTTAATTGAATAAAAGATTACTAGACAGCATATCTTGTCCTGTTTTCATTACAGTATTTAAATCCATTTCCTAAAAATCTGTCTTTGTTTACGTTAGAGAGCAACAGAGTAGGCGTGTATATTTAGGGAATTGGGAAAAATGTGTTTCAAAAGCACTATTCATTCTTTGTTTGAGCAGGAGGTCTACATGGTCGTGTCCATAGTCCAGAGGCTCGTTTCCTAGCGTACCTGTCTGCTTAGGACACTAACCAATCCCTGTTGCAGACGTTTGCTCAGGTACATTTGCGTTGGCTCAATACCCACAGAGCCCAGCTGTGTTGTGTAATGCAATTATTCTCCGTCACAATTTCACTTACAATATGGCATCTCCGCTTCAGTCAGTTTCTCACAGACGTAAGGTTGCCTCCCTCTGCCTTTTTCATAAATACTTTCAGGGTAATTGTTTACTTGAGCTCTTCGCTATTGCAAATACTCATTGGGGATTTTTTTTTAAATTGCTGTTTTATTCCCCTCCCCCACAGACAATGAATTGCACATATGGGAACTAGTTACGACTTCATAGAGACAATGTGGCATTATGGTGGCTGTAGTAAGAAAGGTAAATAAGAAGGCGTTGTTTTGGTGTTACGACTATTGTTGTATGTTTGGGTCAGCGTTTGTGTCTACCTAGGTTTAATATAAAACTGAAAAAGACCGTCTTTTTCTCAATTTCCCGATTTTTGTCCTTGTGCCACATTTTCTGTATTGAAGCGGAAATAAATATCGCTCCCCACTATGGAACCTAGATTTGGGTCAACCAGATCTGCTTCACAATGGTATCATTGCTTCAGGCTTCTTATACCATGGTGTGATTCCAATCCGGGTCTACAAGCCATTGTTCTATACAACGATACAAGCTAAAGAAAACAATTAATATTCAACCGAAAATATTTTTCTAGCGTTTAGATCTGCAAATGTTCTCCTCATCTTTATTGCCATATTCACCTTCAACATCTGTCTCTATTTCTCAGATGAGGTATTGTAACTATTTACACTATTTACATTGTTCGGGCTGTTGTCCTCATCTTTATTGCCATATTCACCTTCAACGTCTGTCTCTATTTAGGAGATGAGGTATTGTAGCCATTTACACTATTTGCATTGCTTGCACTGTTGTCCTCATATTCACGACGTTTCGGCCGTTTTGGGGACTTATAAATGTCTCAGTGAGCATAGACATGAATACAATATTACAAACCACTAATACAGAATGCTAGAGAAAAACATCAAATTGTTATATGAGATCATGTAAAAAATGTTAACTGAGACTTTAGTTTTATAAGTCACCAAAATTCATTCTCTGATGTCCCCAAGGGCGTATGGCACAGTGGATAAAACCGTTAGTTGAAGTAATTCAGTGACTTGACCCAAAGAGTTGTGAGTTCAATACTTGGCCACACTTGCAGAATTGTGTTACTAAACGATAAAAGCTGAAAATTGCACTTGGAACAAGAACAATCTACCAAAGGTTTTAACGCTTATCAACTGAAGAAGTCCAGGGTGTACAGTCGGAACAATATAATAAAATACTGAAATTAATTTAAAATATAATTAATTTTTTTTTTTTTACATTCATAAAAGAAATCTTTCGGTGGTCTTTAATAACACATGGAAATGTATGCATATGTTAAAATATACATTAGTGTATATATATTTACATATGTAAATCTTGATACATACACGTTTGTGTGTGCGTGTGTAGCTATGTAAGTTCAGGGAAATAATGATGAATAGGCTCTAATTGAACAACAGCGGGGGAAAATCTTCTGCCATTTCGTTGAAACAAATATTGAAATTCTTCAACGTAGAAAGCAATTATTTGCACTTGTTTTGCGATCTGGTCATGTCTCGAATCTGGCGGTAGGGATGGAGGCGGCAGATAAGTAGAAAATATATGAGAAAATAAATCTATATGTAAAGAACGAACGAAGGAAACAAAGAAGGAAACGTTAATGAAACAAAAGAAAAAGAGAAGAAATAAGAATAAGTTGATGAACAGAGAGAGAGAGAGAGAGAGAGAATCGAAATTAGAAAGAGATCCTGGCTGAAGTAGAAGCAGAAACCAAGAAGACATATAAGAACGAAAAATGTACAAACGCAAAAAGGAAAAAAAATGAATAAGAAATCAATAATGAAAGAAAGAAAGAATAAAATGTGAAATTCAGAATGAAGATCTACAGGGTTAAAGAAGAAAATGAATGAAAATGAAGTCTTGCATAATTTTAAGAAAAAAGAACATAAGAAGAAAAAAATGAAGAAATTTTTTCTAAATAGCCAGGATGGTAATTATTCTAATGAACTATGGTACGTAGACCTAAAAATTTAAGCACATTACTAGTATAGGCTATAAACTCCTATATTTTAAGGCCAATAAGTGAAGCACAAAACAAATAAGAAACGCTTAAAAATAGATCCTACGAAAATTAGTAGATACGAAAAAACTTTACAATTCTGTACAAAAACACGGCTCCAAAATGAAATAATTGGTTTGTGGGACCTGATTGGATATGACAAGTCAAGTGATGTGCTCACGACGACGTCCACGCGGTTGAAATGAAATGACCTGGAAAATCGGTCGGGGCTTGGGTCAGGGAGTATGTTCCCATCAAAAATCAGATGGATTTCGTGAGTCAATCACCGACTCGCCATAAGCCATAAAAACAGCGACTAGATCTGAAACAAGACAGTCAGCAGGCATATCTGAAACGGAACAGTCAGCGAACAGGCCCGGTCGCGACTCAAGGAAACCGTGACAGCACTCCAGTCACCGATGATCTTTCTACATGCAACGCCACGACGAAAGTAAGTTTTGTCTCAGTTTCTCTTTGTTCACATACACATATTGGCGTACATGTCATTTCGAACTTTGCAGACTCACTTGCAACAAAATAACTTTGAACTTTATGGACTCACTTGCAACAAAATAACTTCGAACCTTGCAGACTCACATGCGACAATAATCATTTTGAACATTCAAACTATTCGTCTCTTCATGGCCACAACAAAGAACATTTTTTTTCAGCATGTGAATGTATGTATCTACTGTATAAGTGTTACTGTTATATTTAACTTGGTCTTATTTTTCTACGAAGATCATTTATTCGCGATGTTTATGATTGTGCATTGTAATTTACGGGCATGACACTCGGATTTTATTTTTCCACCTAAAATCAAAATAGACAGACCCCCACTAGATTGGCGGCAAGGTCTCATCATTTACAGTTGAAATGGCTGCTAGATATAACCGTAAGTTCTACGCTAATAGTTTCTTCTATCGCATTTCTCATTCGTAGAACTCTCTTCAAGCTTCTTGCTTCCCAGTTGGTTTTCAAAAGTTTAAATGCAACGTCAGTCTTATTATCTTCTGTCTTCCTAATTCTTGTTCGTTGGGTGGTTGATTTTGTTTAGTGGCATATCAATCACTAGGGGTTATTTAATGTCGAAATCTAAATATTTTGAGCAGAATTTTATGACTTCAACTAAATATATTTAAAACTTAATTTTATGCCTTCAACGACAGATAAAATGTATTGTTGGTCATTTTGTCATAAAATGTATTGTTGGTCATTTTGTCATAAAATGTATTGTTGGTCATTTTGTCATAAAATGTATTATTGGTAATTCTACTCTAAAAATTTATTGCTGGTAATTTTACTATTAAAATGTATTTTTATGCTTTCACAGTGTTTGGTTTTTGTTTGGAGTTTCACTATTTGCCCATATCTTGGACCCTAACAGGTGCTACAACCACGAGTCAGAGTGGACCTGGGAACAATAGTAATTAAGAGGTAGTTCCACGCTCCTGAAAACTTTTATTGTTCTTTCTCCTCAATAGTATTTTTCTCATATTTTCTAACACTCAGTAACCTCCCCCTTGCGTCTTAGTGGCTTTATTGCCTTGTTTGGGGGGAAATGATTAAACCAAAAAGCAAGAAAGAAGTTGTGCATTATTTTAAAATAAAAAAAGGAAAAACGTAATGTTAAAAAAAGTTTATAAAAACTCTTTCTAAAATCTGGAGGTTTACGGCCATATCACACTGAACCATTGGTTCTCGTACGATCACCAAAGTTAAGCAACGTAGAGCCTGGTCACTGCGAAGATGGGTGATCGCTTGGGAATACCAGGTGCTATAAGCTTGGATGTGCTGGTGATGTGATGGATAACGGAATGAGAATTTGGAGACCAGAGTTCGAATTCCCGTTGAGTTCGTTATATTCACTTATGTGCAAATATTCTTGGGAATGACATGAATCCACATATTCTCTCCTCCCCCAGCTATAGGTTAACTAGTAGGAGTCGTATCAGCAAACTCATTATTATCTCAAAAACATTCTTAAATTCCAAAAATATTTACTGGCTTAAAATAACCTGCAAAAGATTGATAAACCGTAAAAAAAAGCAAATCATTCATAAAAATAGGTTGGAATAAAAGAAGGAATTAGGAATTATTTTAAAAACGAAGAAGATAAGAATGAAAAAAAATGAAAAATAGGAAGGAAGGAAAGTATAAGAGAAAATCTAATACAAAATTCTAAAACGAAAAAATAGTAAAAAAGGAAAGAGAAAAAATAGGGCAAACATGGACCTTCATGTCCGCAAAAAAGGACGTTTTTTCAAAAGGACGTTTTTTTCCTTTGTCACCGCTATTAGTTTAACTATCTTCACCCATCGGCAATTTTGTTCTTTAAAAACCGATAATTAGAATTGTAATAAAACCTGAACATATGATGAAATTGAATTTATACATTTTTTTTATTCTTGATAATTTACAACGAAAATATTAAACACGATTTATTTGATTGTTTGTTTACAAGAATAATTTTATATTTACAACATTCTAAAAACTAATACAATTAAAAGTAATGCACTGTAATTTGCATCATTTACCAATTTATAAAGAAATAAATATGAAAACAATTATTTTTCATAGGTTCATAAACATATTAAAATATGTGAACCAATTATAGGGAAATCCTTATTATTTACCATTTTATAAAATTCGAATCAATTATCAATTAGCCCACCGACTACATTTATACAGAGGAATAAGAACCTCCACTCCACATACACACACACCAACGACACAACTGGGTAAGACGTTAAACTACATCCGCGTCCTGGGTAAGACAATAAGCTACATCCGACAGCAAGGCCTCTGATCAGGAGGTTTTGAGGAGCGTGGAATCACCTCTTAATTGCTGGTGTTCCCAGGTTCACCCTGACCTGGGGTGATAGCACCTGCTAGGGTACAAGCTATGGACAAACAGATAAACCCCAAACTGGGGTCAAAACACTTTGAAAGTTTAAAAATAGCTTTTAATTGTTGACTTTGACCTCAGTGTTCACTTTTATATTTACACACGCTCTATCTCTGATATTGACCACTTTATACCATAAATATAGCACACCTTAAGACATTTCTTCACAAATTAAATTTTATATATTTAGGTTTTATTACAATTCTAATTATCGCTTATAAAAGAATTTAAACACTGCCGAGGAGTGAAGGTACTGAAAATAATAGCAGTGTCGAGGGAAAAACCGTGTTTTGTTTTCGTGTTTTTGTTTTTTTTTGCTTTGTTTTTTGTTTTTTTGTTTAGTTTTTTGTTTTATTTTGATTTTTTTTTTTTTTGTCTTTTTTCTTTGTTATTGGCGGGCCAATTTTGCCAGAATTAGCTGATGTAGTTAATAAAAAAAAAAATTGAAAAAATAGGAAATTGGAATGTGGTCTCATTTTTATATGAACAATCCACTTTTGGGATGACCTTCAACTGCCTCGTCTCACTCTCCTTAATCTCGTTCACTATATGAAACAAAAAACAAAACAAAACAGAAATAGTAGGATGCCATCTCTGGATTGTGTTAGCATTGACAGACCTGGGTGATACAATGTTTTACTAAAATACTCTTCAAAAGACATGAAAAATGGACACAAGCATTATCATGATGAATATGATGGCCACACATTACACAAGCTCACACAACGTTACTCTTTTGTTCATTTTTTTGTGGTCGAATGGTTAGAGCGTTTGCTTTCTGGCCATGAGATTTGGGTTGGAATCTCACTATGGTCGATTTGCCAGGAAGGTGACTTACTTGATAATATTGGCGGCTTCATGGTCCTAACGCGCGGCAACTTTGCAAATTGTCTGAAAACGATACCACGAGTTGACTCAAGATCTGTGAATGAAATTGAGTTAACGAAACAATGGGTTGTGCTAGCATGAAGTCACAAGTCATCGTAACCGAGGGTTTGAGTGTGCTAGCCTTGTTAAAAAAAAAAATTGATCACGCCAGATTATGCGCCCTCTCCCAAAAACTGTAACTAAGAAGCACACGGCTTTTCTTCATTTTTTTTCTTCTTCTTCTTTTTTCTTTTTCTTCTTCTTCTTTTTTCTTCTTTTTTCTTCTTCTTCTTCTTTTTTCTTTTTTTTTCTTCTTCTTCTTTTTTCTTCTTCTTTTTTCTTCTTTTTTTCTTCTTCTTTTTTCTTCTTTTTCTACTTTTTTCTTCTTTTTTTCTTCTTCTTTTTCTTTTTCTTCTTTTTTCTTCTTCTTTTTTCTTCTTCTTCTTCTTCTTTTTTCTTCTTCTTCTTTTTTCTTCTTTTTTTCTTCTTTTTTCTTCTTCTTTTTTTCTTCTTCTTCTTTTTTCTTCTTCTTCTTCTTTGTGTTGTGTCTCTTCGGGACATTTGCGATCATGGCGCTCCACAATCTCCTGTCCTTTGTAGCTCATAATAAATATGGTCTTTTAGTTACCTCTCCTAAATTTGGTTCCGTCATCCTATTATACAAGGTTGATAGGTAGGTTATGTATTGTTTTCTTGTTTCCCTCTTGCATTCAATATGGCCTGTAAGTATCAAATTTTCAAAGCCCACTTTCCTCATTATGTGCCCTAGAAATTCCAACTGTCTTTTTCTGATGTTAAGTAGAAGTGTCCTTTTTCTCTAAAATTCCTTCGATGCTCACTTGTTCGATCCATGGTATTCTCAGCATCCTTCTGTAGACCATATTTCTGTCTGTGTCTAGGAGATCATTCAGCATTCATTGCCTTATGGGAGGACTGATATTACATAGCAGTCAAGCACTTTTTTATGTTTCTAACGAATTTTTTCTGTTTTCTAATACTTTGCTTAACTTTTAGAAGGCATCTTTCGCTAAGTTAATTTTATATCAGATACATGTCCATTTTCACATTAGTTACATGAGGACTATCGTTCTCATCCTTGTTGCTATCGCAACGTTTCAGACGCAGTGACTTCCGGTCTTCATCAGGTGCTTGTTGATTCAAGTAACCTTCATATAATTTAATTTCGAATTTAATCTGCGGTGGGGGATCGATTGTTCTCATTCCACTGCCCATGTTTTTTTTTGTTTTTTATTTTAATCATTTCACTCCAAGCAAGGCAGTAGTTCAACTAGTACGCAGGTGGGGGGGTGTTATAGAGAGGGAAAGTGAGGGAAAAGACTGGGTATAGAGTTAACTGAGGAAAGGGTAAAAGATGAGCAGTTGACGTTGCATTAAATTTTTGAAGATTGTAGTTATAAGGGAAGCAAGTAAAAGGAAAGGAGTTCCACAGACTGGAAGTGCGAGAAAAGAAACTGCTGGAGTAGAAGTGGCGATTACATTTAACTATTTCAACAGTAAAAGGGTGGGACCTAGTTGCCAATCTAGTAGTACGCTTAAATTTATCTAGACAGAGGGAAGCCACATCACATCTGTGAGAGAGTGACTGAAGTCGAGATGCCAAGTCGGAATCGACTACATTGCAGGACCTTCTTTGGATTTTGACAAGAACCTTGAGATGAACAGCAGGCAAGACATGGCAACAGTATTCAATGCACTGACGAATGGTAGTTTTGTAAATGTGCAAGATCGACTCTGAGAGTTTAGGGATATTTCATCTAGTTCTTATTTTAGTACTAAGTTATTGCTTGCTCTGTTTCTGCTGAGTCCAATTACACACTGCCCGGCCCAAGGATTGAACTCACAATTACTATGTCATAAAAGTCACGAACCTATCCACTCGGCTATTGTCCCGTGGGAAATTCTGAGTGTCGAATTTGGAGTTTAAGTTTGTATTATACCGTACGAATACTTAATGTTCCTATTATAATTTCAGATTCAGTGACTTCCTTGAATTTATTTCATTTGTTTGTTTTTTTTCAAGAAGGCGCCAATTATTTTAACGATTTATTTTGTGTATATTAAGTAAACAGATTTATTTACATAAAACGGAAGATAGGAAACAGTTTGTTTAAATTGGTACTTAAAAATATATTCTGTTTACTGGTGCGAAACAAATTTACGACGACACTGTCACGGAAGGGTAATACCATACAATATAAATTTATATGCTTGATATATAAAACTCAAAGCTTGTATGTATGTCCGCGTGAAAACCTGGTAATAATTAAATAGTTGACACTTTCACTTCTGCATCTTTATTGCATTGTTGCATGGCTGTGTCATTTACTGGAAATAAAGGTTGTTACAGAATGCGAAGGCCACTGCTAGGATGCCCACCGATTGGTTAGAATACCTTGTGAGCGTGGTATTCGGACAGTGATGGGTTGCCTTTGGCTGAGTTTTGGATATAAGTCCAAAACGGCGCGAGTTCAACAGAGGGTCGCAAGAATCCTGTAATGCCGATACGCTCCCCACACCCAGGTTCGAGAGACAGACCCAGAGCACACTTTTTTAAACATTTCACCACACGGCGGGAGTGCCACTAGCACGCAATGGGTTACAGAGAGTGGGAGCAAGAGTAAATAGGCGTAATAGAGAAAAGGATAAAGAGAAGGGCGGGGAATAGATCAAGGCATCTGGAGATGTCGATTGACATTGCATTTGAATATTTGGAGATTATAGCTATCAGGAAAGCAAGTAAGAGAAAGGGAGTTCTACAGACAGGAAGTGCGAGACATGAATCTATTGGAGTAGAAGAGACGGCTATATATAACCGTTTCGACAGTGAAAGAGTGGGACTTAGATACCAACCTAGTAGCACGTTTAAATTCATGCAGTTTGAGAACCAGCGAAAATAGCTCGTCGGAGCAGTTACCGTGAAAATATTTATAGAAAAAACAGAGTGTAGCGACGGCACGTCTGTGAGAGAGCGACTGTAAAGTAGATGACAGATTAGGGCCAATCACATTGCATATCCGTCTCTGGATTTTGTCGAGGACCTTAAGACGAAAAACGGGGGTTCCAGACCATATATGGCAGCAGTATTCCATGCAAGGGCGAATGGTTGATTTATAGATTTGAAGGATAGACTCGGGCGAGAAAAACTTTCTGGCGCGACACAGGGAACCAACTTTCTTTGTGGTAGATGAAGCTATTGATTCAATGTATTTGTTCCATCTCAGGTCAGTAGACAGTGTGAGACCAAGCAGTTACAGAGAGGTGAGCTCGTGGAGTTGAACATGCTTTCCCTTGAAACCATTCCTCCTGCTGCCTCTTATAATCCAAGCTGCCATGTCCATCCCTCTCTTTTGATAAAACGACTAAGAAACTGTCTTTTGTTGATAGCATCCATGCAGTAACGTAGGATATCAAAGACCCCAAGGAACACAACAAGATTTATAAAGAGAGTAACGGCCATTTCCCTGGGTCGCCGCCATTTTGATTTTGATTTGATAATCTGCTGTACAGATAAACAACTCCCCCAACACACAATAAAATATGTATTGTCATAGCATTGTTTCCTGGCTGTGCTGGCCGATTTATTAAAAACATGTTTTTATCATTTACAAGCGTTTTTTTTTATGTACCTTGTCCCTCTCAGGAAATAGACGATTATGGCTCTCCACAATTTCCTGTCTTTTGTAGTTTTTTCTTTTTCGTTATTTTTCCTAAAACCTGTTCCGCCATCCATTTACTTAATCTCACCAAGAATGCTATGCACTGTTTTTCTCTGTCCCTCTTACCCTCATTCTTTTATGTAAATAAATATATAGATACTAACTGCCATTTTTCATGGGTGCCGATATTTTGGTTTTCATTAGATAATCTGCAATAGAGATGAAACTAAACGACTCCCCCAACACACAATATAATACGCATTGTCACAGCATTGGTACCAGGCTGTGCTGACCCGTATGCTAAAAAACAGGAAATTGCCTTTTAATAGAAATAAAGGACAATAAAAAATGCTGACGGCGATTTCTCATGAGCGCTGCCATTTTGGTCTCGATTCTGCAATAGATAGATAGATAGATAGATAGATAGATAGATAGATAGATAGATAGAAGCAGACTGTGAGAGAGCGAGAGATAAACAGACTGATAGATAGTAAGAGAGAGAGGGCGGCTGAAATAGACATGAACGGACTGAGATAGATAGATAGATAGATAGATAGATAGATAGATAGATAGATAGATAATGAACAGAGTGAGATAGATAGATAGATAGATAGATAGATAGATAGATAGATAGATAGATACGAACAGACTGAGATAGATAGATAGATAGATAGATAGATAGATAGATAGATAGATAGATAAACATGTACTGACTGAGGATACATTACGTTCACTCGGCAGAGAGAGAGAGAGAGGGAGAGAGACAAATGAATGTCTGTTATAGATAGATAGATAGATAGATAGATAGATAGATAGATAGATAGATAGATAGAAGCAGACTGAGACAGAGATAGACTGTGAGAGAGCGAGAGATAAACAGAGTGATAGATAGTAAAAGGGAGAGGGCGGCTGAAATAGACATGAACGGACTGAGATAGATAGATAGATAGATAGATAGATAGATAGATAGATAGATAATGAACGCTGATACACACACACACATATAGTGAGAGAGAGTGACAGAGAGATGGACAGAATGAGATAGATAAATAGATAGATGGAATGAGAGAAAGATATAAATTTCTATTTATGCATTATATATATATATATATATATATATATATATATATATATATATATATATATATATATATGTGTGTGTACCTTTGAAGAAGAACCTGATAAGTGGCTTTTCAGTAAAATTGACACGAACTTCAGGGTAGAACAGCAAAAAATCCGGGTGGGCAAGTTCAATGTCTCATAAGTTGTAACCGAGGCTAAATTTTGTCTTTCAACTCCCACCTCCCACACATCAAACTCAAGGCGAAGACAGAGTGTCCAAAAGATAAGAAAATATCATTCACTCGACCTGTGACCCGGCATTCCCCACTGAAATCCTGCTTGTTCCTGTTTAACTCTAAGCCTTTTTCTGAAAAACGGCTTGTCAACGAAATGGTGTCGTGAATCACTGCAAGTGCACAAATCGAAACCTTCGTTGTCACCGAGGGTTACTCATAGGCGCTCGGCTTTTCCCGGGGAGGAAACTTACGGTTTGGTAAAATAGGCTGAAAATATTTTGTATTCATTACTTGATTCAGGTTACTGATGGCAATGGCAACAAGTTAGCTACGTGATCAAAGAAGAAGAAGAAAGAGGAGGAGGAGGAGAAAGATGAAGGAGGAGGAGTGCTAGAAGGATGAGAAGAATGATAATAATAATAAATATGATGATAATAATAATAATAATAATAAGATAAAGAAGAAGAAGGAGGAGGAGAAGGAGGAGTGAAGGAGGAGGAGGGAGGTGAAGGAGGAGGAACGCCAGAAGGATGAGAAGAATGATAATAATAATAAATATGATGATAATAATAATAATAATAATAATAAGGTAAAGAAGAAGGAGGAGGAGGAGAAGGAGGAGTGAAGGAGGAGGAGGGAGGTGAAGGAGGAGGAACGCCAGAAGGATGAGAAGAATGATAATAATAATAAATATGATGATAATAATAATAATAATAAGATAAAGAAGAAGAAGAAGAAGAAGAAGAAGAAACGGAAGGAGAAGGAGGAAGAAGTTGAAGGCAGAGGAGTGCCATAAGGATAATAATAATAATAATAATAATAATAATGTATGATGATGATGGTGATAAAAAGGATAACAATAATAATAATAACAGCAAGGTAATGAAGAAGAAGTGGAGGAGGAAAGACGATGTAAGAGGAGGAGAAGGACGAGAAGAAGAAGAAAAAGAAAAGGAAGAAGGGGAAGATAAAGAAGAAGATAATGATGAGAAAAAGAAGAAAATAGAATATTTGATTAATTATTTCGTTTTCTACGGCTTATCAACCCTTTGAAGGTTATTTAAAGCCATAAAATATTTTTAGATCGTAAAAATTTTTGGGGGGAGGGGGTATAATAATGATTTTAGTGATACAAGTCATACTAATTAACCCATAGCTGGGGACAGAAGAGGTCATTTACACGTAAGGGAATAACACGAACCCAACGGAAATTTGAACTCCGATTAACAATTCCGAGCCATTAACCATTACACTACACGCACATCCAAGTTTACAGCACCTTGTATTCCTAAGCGGTTACCCATCTAGGTGATGACCAGGATCGACGTTGCTTAACTTCGGTGATCATACGGGTACTGATGTTTCGATGTGATATGGCCGTAAGCAAAAGAATGAGATGATGACAATCATCATATCAAGAAAACAAAGAACAACAACAGCAACAGCAACAGCAACAACAACAACAACAATGTATGTTACCGATTTGTCCGGTAATGTCATAATTCCGTCGTCCTGGGCAAGACGATAAACTACGTCCGCGTCCTGGGCAAGACGATAAACTACGTCCGCGTCCTGGGCAAGACGATAAACTACGTCCGCGTCCTGGGTAAGACGATAAACTACATCCAACAGCTAGGCCTCTGATCAGGAGGTTTTGGGGAGCGTGGAACCACCTCTTAAATGTTCCCAGGTCCACCCTGACATGCGCTAGTAGCACTTGTCGGGGTCCCAGCAATGGGCAAATAGTTAACCCCCCCAAACTGGGGTAAAAACACTATGAAAGTGTAAAAATAGGTTTTAATACCAGCAATAGATTTTTTTTTTAAAGATTATTACCAGCAATAAATTTTTGAGGAAAAATTATTAACAGCAATAGATTCTTGAAAAAAAAATAGTAGCAATACATTTTTGAAAATAAAAAATATTATCAGCAATAAAAATCTTGTCGGCATTAAATAACCCATTAAGGTGTTGATATGCAGTAAAACAAACAAAACCAAACCAAGCGATCATTCCGTCCGCGTTCCCCTTGCTGCTATCTTGAAAATATAACTGACCTATCAGAATCGACTGTTGTGTGAATTTGAAGTTCATTCGATGCGTTTGGTATGTGACCTCACGATTATCAGCGTCGACTCCGCCTGAGGTCAAGAACGTATGACGATCTATTATATATATATATATATATATATATATATATATATATATATATATATATATATTGTTATTGAGTTGTTACTATTTAATTCAGCACGAAAAAAGATGGCCTTGACGCCGAGGAAACATGCACATCTTGTTCGACTTGAAAAACACGAGTGAGTTCTCTGGCGCGGAAACACAGACACATGAAGTCATACTTAAGCACGTACACTTGCAAGCAATAATACGCACACACGATTACTACACCATGGAACAGAAACACACACGTAAAGGATACCATTGCTACAAACAGACTGAGATAGATAGATAGATAGATAGATAGATAGATAGATAGATAGATAGATAGATAACGAGGGTGAGATAGATAGATAATAACGAGTGTGAGATAGATAGATAGATAGATAGATAGATAGATAGATAGATAGTGGCTAAGTTAATTGTATATTTCCATTGTTGGTTTATTTTCAAAACCAAGCCAAAAAAAACAAAAACAGAAGTCTGATTTTCATGATTTTTATTTTACTATTCTTAACCCAAGACGAGGCCAAAGAGCCACTCAAGATAGAGGGTTGCCCGACTAGGTACTTTTAAGGGTGTACATGTAGGATAGATAATAGCTGACTCTCGACTTGAAGAGGTTAAGATTGTAATGATCGGGAAAGCATCCTCTAGGGAGTCCATTCCATAATGCAATATTTCTGGTAAAGAAATTGAGTGGAATATGAAGGGAATGAGGATGAGCCTACCTTTGGTATATACTGCAACTCTGCTGAGCAGACCTTAGTTACAGTCTCTGGGAGAGAGCGTGTCATCTAACTTGATCAACAATTGAACAATCAACAAACAAGCCCTCGGCCATGATGACTTTTGGCTTCGTGCTAACACAGCTATCGACAGTTACCCAATTTCACTCACTAGGCTTGGGACAACGCGTAGTATGGTTTTCAGGCACCTTCCAAAGGAGCTGCACGCTGGGAAACATCTCCCCTGGACGAAGATATCAAGAAGTCACCTTCCTGACCGATCGTCCATGATGAGATTCGAACCCGGGGATCATGATCAGAAAACGAGTGATCTAACCACTTATCGAGGCAGATAACTTTTCAAAGAAAAAAATAATTTCCTCACCAGAAGGCGGTGGTAGAAGTGACCAATCAAAATATTGTGGAAACGGGCAGAAAAAGAAGATTGTTTAAAAATGAAGAGAAACAGAAGAGGGATAGAGAAAGAAAAGAAAGGAAAAAGGATGAAAAAAGAAAAGAAAAGGAATGAAAAACGAAAAAGAAAAGGAATGAAAAACGAAAAAGAAAAGAAAGGAATGAAAAAAGAAAAGAAAAAGCAAATAATAAACAAAAGAATAGAAAAGAAAAGAATGAAAAAAGAAAAAGAATGAAAAAAGAAAAAGAAAAGGAATGAAAAATATAAAGAAAAGAAAAGAATGAAAAAAAGAAAAGAATGGAAATGAAAAGAAAAAGCAAATAATAAGAAAAAGAATAGAAAAAGAAAAGGAATGAAAAAAGAAAAAAGAATGAAAAAAAGAAAAGAAAAAGCAAGTAATAAGCAAAACGACAGAAAGGAAAAGAATGAAAAAAGAAAAAGAAAAGAAAAGAATGAAAAAGAAAAAGAAAAGAAATGAAAAAGATAAAGAAAAGAAAAGAACGAAAAAAGAAAAAGAAAAGAAAAAAAAGAAAAGAATGGAAAAAGAAAAGAAAAACCAAATAAAAAGAAAAAGAATAGAAAAAGAAAAGAAATGAAAAAGATAAAGAAAAGAAAAGAACGAAAAATGAAAAAGAAAAGAAAAAAAGAAAAGAATGGAAAAAGAAAAGAAAAACCAAATAAAAAGAAAAGGAATAGAAAAAGAAAAGGAATGAAAAACATAAAGAAAAGAAAAGAACAAAAAAAGAAAAAGAAAAGAAAAGAATGAAAAAGAAAAGAAAAAGCAAATAATAAGCAAAGGTTTTTAAAAAAGAAAAGGAATGAAAAAGATAAAAAAAGAAGCGAATGAAAAAAGAAAAAAGAAAAGAAAAGAATGAAAAAAGAAAAGAATGAAAAAAGAAAAAGGAAAGAAAAGAATGAAAAAAGAAAAGAATGAAAAAAGAAAAAGAAAAGAAAAGAATGAAAAAAGAAAAGAAAAAGAAAAGGAATGAAAAACATAAAGAAAAAAAAGAACGAAAAACGAAAAAGAAAAGAAAAGAATGAAAAAAGAAAAGAAAAAGCAAATAATAAGCAAAGGTGTAGAAAAAGAAAAGAATGAAAAAGATAAAGAAAAGAAGCGAATGAAAAAAGAAAAAGAAAAGAAAATGCAAAATAATAAGCGAAAGTGTAGAAAAGAAAAGGAATGAAAAAGACAAAGAAAAGAAAAGAATGAAAAAGAAAAAGTAAAGAAAGGAAGGAAGAAAGAAAAGAATGAAAAAAGAAAAAGAAAAGAAAAGAATGAAAAAAGAAAAGAAAAAGCAAATAATACGCAAAAGAATTGAAAAAGAAAAGAAATGAAAAAGATAAAGAAAAGAAAAGGAATGAAAAAGAAAAAGAAAAGAAAAGAATGAAAAAAGAAAAGGAATGAAAAAGATAAAGAAAAGAAAAAAGCAAATAATAAGCAAAGGTGTAGAAAAAGAAAAAGAATGAAAAAGATAAAGAAAAGAATGAAAAAAGAAAAAGAAAAGAAAAGGAATGTAAAGAAAATGAAAAGAATTAAAAACCGTCTTTTTTACACAGTTTTTTTTTTTTTTTTTTTTTTTTTTTTAGGTGATGTACTTAATAAAAAAATATTGAAAAAATTGGAAATTGGATTGTGGTCTCATTTTTATATGAACAATCCACTTTTGGGATGACCTTCAACTGCCTCGTCTCACTCTCCTTAATCTCGTTCACTATATTAAACAAAAAAAAAAAAAAAAACAGAAATAGTAGGATACCATCTCTGGACTGTGTTAGCATTAACAGACCTGTGGTCAAAACGCTATGAAAGTTTAAAAATAGATTTTAATACCAGCAATATCTTTTTGGAAAAATTATTACCAGCAATGCATTTTTGGAAAAAAAAAGATATTAGCAGCAATACAAAACTTATTGACATTAAATAACCCATTGAGGTTGATATGCCGTAAAACAAAATAAACCAATTGTTTGATGCTTTAATTTAAATTGAAAAACAGTTTACGTTATTTGGTAACGTGGACGCCGCTATACGTTCTTCCAGTACAACATATTTTACCATTTTTCTCATATTTTCGTCGCTGGTTCACTTTTCAATGTCTAAATCTAGATTGATTTTTTATTTCTTTTTTTTTATGTTTTAGAAGAAGGAACGTCACACACGCAATTGGTTGATGCTTTAAGTTAGTCACAAAACAGTTTTTACTACCCTGCCACCAGTGACAGATTTACACAAGGCCTAGTCTTGGGCCCCTGATAAAAATAAAGAAAAAAATAAAGATACAATAACAGAGAAAGTAGTTTATTTTCAGGCTAAGGGAGAAACAATTTGAAACAATTTTCTTTCTTTCTATGTGCCGTGTCCCTTCAGGACGTAGACGATCATGGCTCTCCACTCCTTCCTATCCCTTGTAGCTCTCAATAAGTTTCGTTTCTCTGCCACCGCCCCCAGACCAAGTTCTGTCATCCACTTGCTTAAGCCTGCCAGATATATCATGCTTTCCCTTGTCAATCTTTCCTTCTATTCGACCTGTGAGTATCAGATTCTCCAAGCCCTCCTTTCTCATTATGTGTCCCAGAAATTTCAGCTGCCTCTTCTTGATGCTAAGTATAAGCTTTTGTTTTGTTTGCATCCTCTCCAAAATCTCATCGTTGCTCACACGCTAAGTCCATGATATCCTTAGCATCCTTCTGTAGAACCATACCTTTGAGGAGACCGTCCAAAATTCGCTGCCGTAAAGGAGAACAGGTGTCACGTATCAGCTCAGTACTCTTTTCTTTGTTACCAAAGAAATCTTCCTGTCTCGTAATACTCTGCCTAGCTTTTAGAATGCGTCCTTGACCATTCTAACGCGTAGAGAGTATTATTTGGTCTCCTCTAGTTGGAATATGCTTTTTAAATTCAATGGGGCCCCTTCGAGGAGCCCAATTTAGATTTTGATGCACCTTTTTTATGTACATATAGATTTTTTATGTAGATTTTTCATAATTTTGACTACCTTATTAAATTTGTACTCAATTTTACACTTCACCGGACAGTATACACACACACAGATATGGAATAAGCG